GAGGAAGTTAGTGCCTACTACACAAGGTTACTCTGTGTAAGGAAATGGGCACATGAACTTAAAAAAATACATAAGTATATTCAGATACCGTTATCAATTTGCACGCACGATCGGTTGCGTACTCTCATTAATATAACTTTCCACGCTTAAAGCAATAAAACATATACAGCTGTTTATAAAGATTATAACTTTTACAAAAGACAGTTACAGTGCGTCTTCACGTTCAATAATTGATTTGGTAACATATTCTGTTACACGATTGACAACTGACTTCGGCTTTCGTTAAAACCGCATTATTTGCTCCCACTCTCAAATTACTACTGAGAAGACGCTTACTTGAATAAATCAGTTGCTTGCCAGATTTTACCAGCTGTTGACACTGAAAACCGCTTGTGTGGGCGAGCAGTTAGCGAGTGCTGCAATCGGCATTGTCCAATCGCACTCTGCAAGCGATCTATGCTGGTGCAACGAAATTCTCAAGCTTATCGGCGCTTGTAAATACTTACAACCATACGCGTGTGGCCAACGCTCGGCGGCTTCATGCAATCGCTTGGCGCAACAACAATAAGTGAAGAAAAAAATAATTAACATCACTTGAATTGCTCTCGTATTGCCAGGGAAAGTGCGTAAACAAATAAATCTGGTGCAAGTGACAGAAGGTTAACGGTTGAGGGCTCTTCATGGCGCTGGTGGCGACTTGTAAGAATTTCATAATACTCATAATTACAAATTGAATTTTTTTCCATCACTTAATTGAGTTGTTTGTGCGTGGGGTAGTTCGCTATAAAAGCGAGTGAAAAATTTAATTCGGGTTTCAGTTCGGTTTTTACTGTTTGAACGAAATCAGTTTGGCAAATGAAAAGATATCTTAGCATATATACTGTGTTGAATGAAAATTGAGATTATAAGCATCTGATAAAAAAAATTGAATACAAACTTTTATACAAAAATAAAAATCTAATATATATATAAAAAAAATTGAAAACTTTTTGTGACAAATATAACAGCCTAAGACTTCACGAAACGTATTCCAAATCTCAAAGTGATCCAGGAAAAATTTAAAATATTTTCACTGAAATGAAAACAACTGCATTCCTTTGTGTGCTGCTTCTGCTGGTTCTGCTCTGCAGTCCCCATGCTTGTAAGTGAAAAAACTGGTATTAACTGGCTCTATACGTAACCTAGATGATGTAGCGTTTTTGAAAATAATCTAGTATTTGTAATAGTGCTTTTACTTCCGGTTTCAGCGCCAAAGCAGTGTTAGACTTTAATATTTTACTACGCTGGAAGATTCTCAGTATTCGCCACCAGACCAGAACCTTAGCTTGGTCAGTATATAAATATCAATATGCTTAGTGGTTCGTTCTCAACCCTGGTAAGCGGTGCTTTAAATTAAAGAGTTTCGGTTTTGGTATTGTGCGTCCACATTCTTCTATTAGTAGTTACCATAAAATTCCACTCTGCTTCTGTTTGCTGAACCGCAGCTTCAGAGCTGAACATCTCAACGTATTTTTTCCTACACAACAGGCTTCAAATTTCTTACGTGTTTTTGAAAAAAAAAAAAAAAAATATGAGTCAGTGCAAGGTTTTCTACAGGCTTTTGGTAGGTCCTAATAACAGATAAAGGTTTCGGCTCCTTTTGATATTATGTCTTTTTCCCATTATTTCACTGCATCACAGAGAAAGCTTCTAATTAGAAAACTAATTCATGCGTTTCGCGCGAACAGGCCGATACTGAAATAGTTACCACAAAAGTGTACTAAGTTAACAGTGTGGATTCTTCTAGATTCTTCATGACCTGACATAAGTGGGAAAAATTTGGCCCCAACCTATTGAGAAACTTGCAAGAGATCGTTTCTTTTTTGCACCAAATTTCATATAAACTCTATCAGGCGAAACTTTAATTCTTTGATACAGCTGTTTTTCGGCAAAAGTCGTCATCGTACCAAAAATTCGTGGCTTGAAATGAAAGTCCTATTATAGCACATAATATATGCTTAAGTATTTTTTTGAAGTAAAATTATCAGCAGTTTACAAATCTTCACAAATACTCACAGCCTCAGTCAAAGAGTTGCAGTTACACCGGCACTGACCGGCGGCCCTCAAGTTGGTAACGTACGATGGCCGCCACAGATAAGAGCGTGGAATATGTGGACTATGGCAGCAATACAAATGGTATCTGCGTACAGCGCGCGCGGTGCAGTAGGGAATATGTGACGCAAGTGATCAAGTAAGTGCAGTGAAGCCAAAGTGAAAACAATGTTAATTGAAAAAAAAAAAATTAATTAAATGAAATACTGTAAACATATCAATCAGATTTTATCAGTTAGCGTTTCAAGACAGCATGAAAGTAATTTATTTTGCTATTTTGTTTTACAGATGCAGTGATCTGCGCATAACTTGTGAAAATCGCAAATTATTTGAGGGAGAGTTTCCGGCCTGCTGTGTGAAGTGTTGACATAAGAAGAGAGCAGATGTTTAAGCGTACTATGTGAAGAAGAAATGATAGAAAAGAAAGCAATAAAAAATGTGAAAGAAAATTATTTATTAAAATTATTTGCAAAAATTTTAGTTAAGAGCGTGTTGGTACTTTAGGGTGCTAAAAGCCGAGCCGAGCGCATTTTTCCATTTACGCATTATGCGAATTTACGCTCGGCTTTCAGCGTTCACACTACCCGCAGGCTTGGGCCAAGCGTACAGCGCAGCACAGGGAACTTTTTTTTCGTGGCTGCTTTTACTTCTCACAAACACTGTATATAGCATAGCTGCCAAAACTAGGGTACAGTGTTCCACCACAGACAACTATGGCTGCGTTCACTGCAAAGCAGGCAGGCCACTGTCATTGGACTGTCAAACTCGCGCGCCACCTGTTCCACCTGGTTTGTTGTTTTGCACATTCATTCGACTTCCAGTCTACAAGCGAAACGAAGTGCAGACGCGAGAGAAACTGACCTGCGCAGCTGAGCGGCTCGTGCCAGTGTTGAGTATCCACTTTTGCAGTTGTTGTTGCTGCTGCCGCTGCTGCTGCTAATCAAATTTTAAACATATTACTATGCCGCCACTATGCTACCTTAGCGGCTGCGTAGGTGCGTGCACGGAGCAGGGGCCGCTCAATGAACTGAATGCTACGCCGGATGCCACAGGCGCTGGCGGCGACGTGGAAGTTGTGAGCGCCGGCTGCACCGGGCGGAGATTACATCTACCATATGTACGTTGCACAACAATATGAGGCGTGTATTTTAGGTAAACATGTTGCCTCGCTGCGTGCCACTAACCGCGCTGGCCGTGTCGCGTTGCCGCTGTGTAGCAAAGTGTGCCAGCATTTTGATTGCCTGCAATTTGAGGTGCAATGCGCAGCGGAAATAAACGAAATGACAATGACGCCGGCACCCGTTGCAAGCGCCACCGCAAATGCAATGCATACGGAAATGAGTGGTGATACAAAAGCAGGCAATAAACTGTAAAAATAACGGTAACTAAATTAGTGCCGAATTTGCAATCTTACACACAGCTATGTCTCTGTGTGTGTGTGTCAGTGTGGTGCACAATTTTCGGTCTGCCTGTATGCACAGCAACGCCGTATATCTTTATATTTACCGTTATTTATGCAAGTGCGTGTGTGAGCAGCCATCATTTCATTGTTTATTTTAATGTGCCACTTTGTGTTGCGCAGTTGACCAACTTACAAAGCCATCGACTAACCTAGCAAAGCGCCACTTGCAGCGCTCTGCGCTTCCTCTGCCCACCTGCGCGCCCAGCGGCCGACCAACCGAACAACCGACCGACCTGACCAAGTTTTTCATTTTTAATTTTTGCCTTAAGAGTTCATAAATGTACAACTTTTGAGCGCAGACCGGTGTATGGGCGCGCCTAAGAGAGAGCCAGTTAAAAATGTAGACACAGTGGGCTCAATATGGTACAGAGAGCGCTGTGTCAGAAATAAATCTGGCTGTTGTCGTAATTCATAAACGTCTAGGTGCCTTAAGATGCCAAGTTTCAGTGGGGACAGCTTGTCTTGCTTGTTTCACCAAATAAACGTCAGATGGCAACTGTCACATGGATGTCAGTTAAACGTCAGACGGCAGCTCTCAAATAGATGACAGATTGATGATTATGCAGCGAAGCAAGTTAAACTGTACCTGGTTTGACGAGATCGAACAGACGTCGTATGAAGGAGATAAAGGACTGTTAAGGATTTAGTAGATTTGTGAATCCTAAATCATCTCAAGATTGAGACTCCACAGAAGTGATGCAAAATGTTGAAGTTATTAATGTAAAATCATGGATCATAAGATGCTTGAAAATTGATATTTGCTATTTCTGAAATAAACTTCGTGAGAAGCGAAGCAAGCAGTATAATGAACGCTAAACTGTGAAGAGCCAATTAGTTCTTTTGAAATATTAGAAGGGACGAAATTAGAGAGGCGAGTGTGATACTGTGCTAAACGAGCAACTAAAAAAGCGAAATGAACTGCTAAACTAAATGGGTGTAAGTAAGCTTACATATTTGCGATGAAGATCACAACTTTAAAGCACTGCTATTTTGGTTGATAACTCGTAAAGGACTAAGCAAACTTGTCGGTACTTAATGAAGCAGAATGTTTAAGGTTTCAGTGTGCAAAAACATTTTAAAAACCATTCCCTCGATTGGCGACAGATTACATAACAAAACACTTCAAGCCGAACTTAACTCAACGAAAGGCAACACTACAATATTGCTGAATATAGAGCCGTCATTCGAGAAGCGGACGGAAAGACTCGCTTGGAGTTCTACCAGTTATTTGTGTTACCTGCCTCACTGTGCCATTTTACCGCACAACTGTGTGTTGCGTCAACTGAAAAGCAACACCCTATAACGTTTGCCGACCTTTGAGTGGTGAGGGCGCACACAAGTGCGTGGGTGTAAGCACCGCGTGGAAGGAGTTTGGAGCGTATAACCCGCGATAGCCAAGAGTCAGTGGCTTGTAGCCGGAGGTGAGAACTTGCGACTTACAAACCATGTAATGGCAATTATGGCTGTTGTCGTTTAAATGTGATGCATTGCCGTTGTTGTTGTAGGACACATATTTTGTTATTACATTGTGTTGTCGGCGCGGATGTGGGGAGCTTGTTGCTGAGGCGAACGCGTTTTATTGTGAATTTTTATTTATATGAGCCAGTTGTTGCTGTGTCACGCTGTAATTCGCTGTGTTGTTGTGGTCATGTAAGCAGGAAGCAGGCAGTTAACTGCTGTCGCTGTTTACAACGAAAGTGTGGCAGTTACAATAAAATTGTCTGATTTTCGTTTTCGCTTTTTGCAACGCCAGCTGCGTATGTAGGGCGGAATAGCGTTGAGTTTTAAATAAAGTTAAGTGCAACAACAATTAATAGCATGCACAGTAAGGGAGTGCAAATCGTTCCACTTTCTTTCGTGCAAGTTGCATTTGGGCTTTCTTGCACACGCCTTGCCGCCTCCACACTTTTGTGTCACTTTCACACTTTTCATTTCTGGCCGACTTTTTTTTTGCCGCAGCTGATGCATGCTGATGAAATGTTGTGCCTTGTGTTCGCTGTTTTTTTTGACTGTGCTGAATATCTGCTCGCATTTGAAATGTTGAATGCGTGCTTGTACTTTGGTTTGCACATGCTTGCGTGTGTGTGTGTGTATGCGCTTGGATAAGACGCTTTGTTTATGTCACTTCTCCACAGTCATTGTGCTCCAAAGTACAGGCACAAGCACACATTCAAGCATAAGCTCAAGCGTATGCACAAGCACTTACCCGTAATAGTGTTTCCTATTTCTGTTTTTGCTCTTGTTGTTGTTTCTATGTTTCTATGTATTTATTTATTCATTTATTTGCTCATTTGTTCTGTTGGAGCTGCCATGTTGTTCACTTGCCCAACTTCCTGTGTGTCAGCGCATGCATGCCATTTTTCATATTTGCTTTATTGTCTTGAGTGTTGGCATTATGTCGCTGGCAGACACGAAAACTGTCAAATGTGTGCCGAAGCGAGTCGAGTGCGGCGCTATGTGTGCGTCCATACATATTTGATATTTAGAAATTGCTCTTAAAATAATGGCGAGCTTTCTTCGTAAAGTGCAAAAAGTGTGCATATTTATAACTGGAAAATGGCACATTTTCATGTAAATTACTTCATCATTCCAACTCTTTGTCATTTCTATAGAACAGCTATATTTGTTATGAGTTCAGAAAATTTGTGTGAAAATGGACACTAAGAAGTCCTGCAAGCGCTCCTAGACTTACTTGTTGATCGATATAAATTATTCTCTAACGGCAGTTCCGTTGTTCAAAAGCGCATGTGAGCAAACTATTACACCATCCACGAAACTTTTTTCGGATATATTAATTGTCTTCAATAGGAAGATGCGCTCAAGTGTAGCGTTGCTAATTCATTATGGCTAACAAGCAGCGATTCTCTACAATCAAGACACAGTTCTCTGCTGCACGTACATTTCCCATTACGCTGTGCTAGTCTCAAAGTAGTTAGCGGGCCGTTTGCAGCTTTTATGGCTGTCAATGTCAATGCGAACACGTAAGCTTCCAAAACTGGCACCAAATAGTTAGAATAGTGTTTGAAAAGTATAGAGACAGCTTCACAAAGTCTATCAGAAACCATGTTTCATTGATTTTGGTGATAAGGGGGGTAAGGGGGCGTGTGGTGTTTTTTTTTAATTTTCTGATATGAAATTATTTTCTTTCGAACGAATTAGTGAATAATCTTAATCGTATTACGATTACGCTTAAGATTAAATGTTAAGCTGTTTAATAATGTACAATCTGGATTAAATGAACCAAAGTAGTATAATTTTTTTTTGTTTCAATTAGAAAAAAATTTGGTGATATTTGCCGAGACCTCCCTCTCTCCAACATAATATCAGATGAGACCCCCTCCCCTCTTTAAACATCGCACGTAATTTATGGACGCCCTCTAACCGAAAGATCCGTAAATATCTGAATGGCTCTACGATCGGTCCACTATGTTTCGAAAGCAGTTGAGTGGCTAGTTCGAGCTAGTCCAGAAGTAGTTTGAGCGATGGTTACAGCCTTCTTAGCAGCCTGGTTAACTTAGCAGTAGATTCTTTATTGTCTCAATTATAAGTGAAGTAAGGCAGCTCTTAACATACAGTTCTAACAACAAAAATGTAGAGAGGGGTCTACATAACTATAATAGACGGTTTACAAAAAATTGTCAGACCTATTGTTTCAGAGAACTTATCATAAGATCAACGTGCGAATAGAAGCCAAAAATAGTCAGAAAAATTTCCTTATTTAAACTTGTAGTAGAAGCCTATTTTCTAGCAAATCTGCAACGAAATAGTTTATCTTGATTGTCGCCATAGAGTGCTATATATTGTAGTTCACAGATATTGTGATGGTTTGCGAATGCGAACTGCTTTTTTCATACAGTTTTTAAAGCTATAACGGAACAATGCCGTTGATAATTTTTGAAAACATAAAAAAAAACATAGTTGGATGAAACCCACCGGAAACGAAACATAAAATAACAAAAATTAAGAGAAAAATCATTTACGAGTAAGCTGTGAACGGGAA